TTGTCAACAACTAAATTCAGCATGTTAAACATGTCTGACAAGTTATGTTGCACATCGACGCCAATCTGATTTTTCACGCGTCCTTCAAATATTTACCCCCATATGGTCGTTTCGTATCTTGGACTTTGTTTGGATTCTTCCGCTCATCATTCTGAGCAAGCATCGTCCAAGCTTGAGAAAATTCGTTGCAAGAGCACTGAGAGGACAAGGTAAAGAAAAACGCACTTTTCAGTAATTTTCACAAAAAACCGGCATAAGCAAAAAAGTAAGCTCGGCGACGTTGTCTACATCATAGATAGAAACAAAACCTATCGAATACACAAAGAAACCGAGTGAAAAGAGTTAAATTGAAGAAAAAACAAAAGGTTGTCAAAAACGCCGTTTTTCCCAGATTTCTCTTTAAATCATAAAAAGAAGTCTTGCGACATTGTCAGCATGAAAATAGAGATCAAGAGCTTTAATATGATATACAGGTTGTCGAAATTGGACTCCGAACAACGAAGAAAAGGGTACCGAAGCCAAATGCCCCGTGCTCCGCATTTGAGGTAGCGAGGTAGCGCGCAACGCGCGGAGACGCAGACGAGCAGCGGAAACAGACCAGAGCCGGCGGGGCATTTGGCTCTGGCAGTAGGTCTCGGCGGGGTCTTAACGAAGTCCTGCAATATTATATATCACTAGTTGTCTTACCCGGCTCCGCCCGGCCCTGTCATTATTATATTCGTAATCAGCATGCTCGATTACCCCCCTGTGCCAACTCCCAGCCCCGTACCTCAATTTTTGCAAAAAATCGATAAAATCGATATCGATCGATGACGAAAAGTAGCTTATGACACCCGCCGAGGCCCGAAGTGTATGTGTGCCAAGCTTGGTCCGGATCGGTTCAGAACAGGGTCAAGCGTGTTGATGCGATCCGGAACCCTCATTTACGGCCCCCCTTGAAAAAACCCATCCGTACGACCCCCCCCTCTTCTTCCCCCCCCCCCCCCACCCTCCCCCATTTATCCCCCTTACCTCCCCTGCCCACATTCCTCGCGGTAACCTGCATAAACGAATGTCAATCTCAAAAAACACCTGCGTGAGAATTTCAGTGAGGTTTCGGAAGCAGAATTTCTGGGCCAATGGGTGCGTCCAGCATTTGCAGCACACATACACACCTTCAATAGTGTTTGAAATTCTGCAAGTTTTTTTGAATTTAAGGCATAAGACCAGCAAATTCGATTCCCGTAGGCGACACAAATTTTTACCGGAGAAAAAAAAATGACATTTTTGAACTACAAAAGATGTTTTCGACTGAGAAGCTTACTTCCTACCTCTTCCACAGTTTTTCCCGCGAAAAAAAAACCGCTTGAGCGCCGTCCAGAACAGCGTCAAAAACATGCATGAGCACGGTAGTTTGAAAATTTGTAACTAAGGCCAAGAAAAGACTGAGAGGCTGCAAAGCATAGATTCTGTAGTATAGTGCCCAGACTATCTGTAGAAAAAGTTTCAGCTCTTGAGGAGCAGTAAGCTCGAAAAAATCTAGATGCGACTCTCGCAAATTTAGATGCGATCCTAAAAAGCAAAAACAGATTTTTGAGCTTAAAATTCTGTAACTTATCAGAGAAGCTGTAAAACAGCCTGCAATTTTTATGAGGGAAAGTAGAAGGATAGCCTCATATTACAGCAGAATTGCAGCCAACAAGCTTCAATAGCTCCGAAGAAATTTAGATGCGACCCAGATACGACCTCCTTTTCTCATTTTTTGCTACAATACATAAAATCATAAGAAAATCCACAGTCGACAAAGTAACCAAATTTTGCATTGACGTAGCGGAGCATCTCCAAAGTATAGATAAATCATATGGGCCCGTGAAAAACATTACAAAAGATTTAGAAATTTATGATGGTCACAGCTGGTAAAGATGTTCGCTTTTGTCGAGTGTGTGAGACTTCAGGAGGGCTTCAGAAGCAAGGTTTCTAGAGCAATCGGTACATTTAGCATTTTTATTAAATCATACATCCTTCAAAAGTGTTTTGAGCTTTTGTAAATGCTTTTTTGAGAATTTCTACAGATTTTCTACCTTTTTTATTCTGATTTCCACTTTTTTATAGATTTACTGTGAAGAACATAACTAATTATCTGCTTTTTGATTCCCTTTTAAGCTTAGGGTATTTTAGCCTAATTACCTTCTCTTACGACCCCCCCCCACCTTAGGTACCCTCTTTACGACCCCTCGTTGCGACAGTCGCATCACAAGCTTGACCTTGGTTCAGAAATGGAATTTTCTATTCGGAACATACGTACACACATACAGACAGACATATAGACAGACAGACAGACAAACAGACATTCAGCTTTATACAGGGTGTCCCAAAAAGATGTGCACACTGTTTGATTGTAAATAACTTTTTTGTGGTGAAGTGTTTCGCGAAGCCTTAGGTACCATTTTGTAGAGCGAGGTTCAACTTAGATTTACAGTGTAGAGCGGCTCGCCGATCTCTCACTCTTACTGTAGGATTACGGTAGAAACTTTGAAGAGGGTTTTGAGCCATGAAAGGCCATATTTTGTTCCAAAAAGAAACCAAAACAAACTGGAAACTCTCACACTGGGCTAACTAGAGTTGCTGATTTCAAATGTGAAGTTCGCAGCTCTTCCTAATGTTTCATTAAAAAATTATGCGAGGTAAGCAGTAGCAGACGTTTTTAAGTGTTCCTAAAAACTGCGGTTACACCGTTTAGAAAGCTTCTCAACTTGTAAAGAGTTGGGTACTGAACTCAGGGTCCATAAAAACCCTATTACACAAATTTCCACGTTTTTGAAAATTTTTGAAACGGTCCCTTTTTTCACAGTAACACCATATGTTTGAAGTTTCTACCGTACTCCTACAGTAAGAATGAATGACCGGCGATTCGCTCTACACTGTAAATCTAAGTTGAACCTCGCTCTACAAAATGGTACCTAAAGCTTCTCGAAACGCTTCACTACAAGAGAGTTATTTACAATCAAACAGTGTGCACATCTTTTTGGGACACCCTGTATATAAGATTGTGATCCTCATTAAATAGCCAGGAGCACTGACAATGTCGCGGATCTTGAAAATTACTCCATAACGAGATAGATCAGCATTTATGTGGCGACTCTCTGCGCAAGATTTGAGCGCAGTTTCTCGTATTCATTAAACTCAAGCGGCTTTCATGAACTTCCAGCGCTTAATCGCAGTCTGAGAAAGGTTAATTGGGAAATTTTGTCCTATCTAATTGAATTCTTGATAAAAAACCTTCTTTTCAGCAAAAGAGGCCATGAAAACGCAATCCTTCGGTTTCTGAGCTCTTTTAGATGTCACTACTATATTTGCCTCATTCACAATCATCCCTATATGGTGTTATGTCATTAGTTATGTCATAATATCCGGGGCTTCTCCACGGATTACTTTTGTACTTCTCTCCAGGTGAAGGTTGTGTTCTATCATGACGCTCAAAGCGAAGGTTACCAGAGTACATGGCTCTATGTATCGAAGGTATGAGGCCATTCAAATAAAGATAACACCATGAAAAATCTGATCGGCACAAGCAGCGAGGTTGTATACAATGCTCAAATTCAAAAGAATTGGAACATTCAAGTTACCTCGGCTACCTTTTGGAGCGGAAGAAGTGGATAAAAGGTAGAAGCATTTTTGTGCTTAAGGAAGAACTTTGGAATGGAATCAGTGTCGAAGTTCTGTCATTAACGGTGGGCAGCGCGAAATCTTGCGGATCGTACGCTCTTACCAATGGTGGACAAAGGGGGGAGGGGGCAGGGGAGGGGGATGGGGGGGGGGGGTTCCTCCCCAAGAATGGGTCGCGAAATTTTTGAAACTTACTTCCGTAGGTCTTAAAAACTTGTAGATAACTGAAATTATTTTTGTAATTTTCTAAAATTTCAAATTAGTCTTGTAACTCTTTTTCTACAATTCAGGGGTTATGGCCTTTGAAGGCACCGTCCACCCAAGTTGGGGTCGATGAGATTTTGTTGCTTAACAGTAGTGGGGCCCCCCAAATGTATACTTATCCAACTCGCGCTGGCAAAAGTTGCTTTCGAAGTGAGAAAATTGCTTCATGCTCGGATAACAGTTTTATCACGTTGGCTCCTCCTCTTTGAGTGGGCGTGACGTTCGTCCAGCCCATCCGTGCGCCCCCAACCAATCACCATTCCGAGGGAAACTGCTCTGCGAGCTCTGTAAAAACGCGGTTTTTTGGTTTTCGCGGATTTCCAATTTGATATTCGAAATCAAAGATATGAGAAGGCCCTGGAACGGCAAAAATATGGAGGTCGAAATTTTGGGTGGGTGGACGGTGCCTTTAAGATTTTGACAAGCACCCGGAAAAAATATTCGAAGTGCGTGACTAACGATACGCACCTCCATTTGAACAAAATTTTTATCCCCCCCCCTACCCTCCACCGACGGGAAATCTGCCACTGACTATTACATTTGCTCTTTTTATTCACTACAGAAAGAAACAGCATGTTTTTATTCAAATTTAGTTTTCTCTTTTCGCTGATGAATTTCATCACAAAAAATATGGTTAACAACCATCAATAGTTTTAGTTCTCAGGCTTTCGACTAGTGGACGCAATTTTGCGAAACGACGAGGACCTTTGCTTCGTTACAAATACAAATGCTTAATGCTCAACAATGAGCGAAAAATGTTTAGGCCTTTGACTAGTTGGTTATATTCATAAACTCTGCAATATTCTCCAGTCACATGAAAGCAGTAAACAATGATTTTTCCACGGGCTACGAATGTTGCTCAAAAACGGATACCTAGATATTTTGAATGCAGTAGAAAATTTTGATGAAACCCGCATCAAAAGGCACCCTTCGACTTCCACGATATGAAGTTCATTAAGGATTTGATGCTTGGTTCAGCAATCACTGAGATAACCTATGCTGTCTACTCCTTTATTTCTTTTCTTGAAAAGTAGTGCACTTATTCGAGTTTCAAAACATTTCTTCCGTTTCCCATCGGTACTGACTTCTGCATGAAAGAAAAAGGTGAGCAAGGTGTTTACAAGATTTACGATGCGAACAAGAATATAGCTAGCAGCATAGTGAAGATAATTGATACCATCGAAAAGAAATGTTGTATCCATCTAACATCCAAACCCTGATTCTGCAGGTAGCTTCTTTTTGTGGTTAAAAATGTAATATATCTTTTTCTGCGGCAAAAAGTTTGACGAAAATATAAAAAATGTTATGGGTTTTCAATCGCATCGGTTATGAGTATAACAAATATAAAACTGCCAAGACGAGAACATTTTTCAAACATTAAAGCTGCGAGGATGTTTGATGGCCTTTTTTGCATTGTAATGTATTTTGGCCGTTGCACGTCAGTATAAGCACTTCTGCAGGCTAAGGTAGCATTGCTTAACCTAAACTTTGGATAAAAACCTTCGTTTTTGAAAAGTGCCAAAGTCCCACATTTCTCTAGGAGTCTGCCAATGTTGCTTGAGTTCGCGGCTGGGGGCTGGGCAAGGTAAGGTAGTTTTTTCCTTTGAGATAATCTTGAAAGCGGATTGCCACCGCCAGGATCTCCATCGGCTCTACCGCCGCCAGTGATGCCACATGGACCATTCGAACCCGATATAGGGCCGGGAATGTTTTCGGGAGGAAGGTATGAAGAAGTGGAGCGACGCACACGTTGGTATATAATGCCGCATGGACCGCCAATGCCACCAGGAGGATTAATTGGACCGCCAGTGCCACTACCGGGATAACCTGGACCTTTATGTGACTGAAAACTTATTGATTCAATATTAACAGTTGTGATGTTGATCTTCAGGATACTGGTGATGACATGACACTCGCAAAGCGGTGTAAATTTGAGGCTATACATTCACAAATCCTGGACTTAATAAAACGTGGAATTTGTTAGCAAAAGGCAAAATTGAAGCAAAAATTGAGCACTATTGAAGCAAATAATCCATTTGTCATACTTATTCTCACTAGCTCACAAGGGAACCATGTTTAGTCGAAGTGACCTTTTTGAATGGAATGCATACCATACTGAAAGCACAAAACGCCGATTCCAGATTTGCTTTTCCCAGTTGCGGAACATTATAGGATGAGGAGTTATGAGGGTTTATTTGAGCAAAATACAGATGTCAATCTAGGGTAAACTTACTTACTTGGATACTTATATGGCCCGTCTTCACGTGGCGTGCGGGTCCCAGCACAAAAGTTGCCATTTGTCACTTTTTCTCGCTTCAAACTCCACAATCTTCTCGGTTGCCGTCGGTGACTGCATCCACAAGTTCCAAATGCGGAAATCGTGTCCAGCCGATTTCTCAGCTGGTGCATCCGTTCCACGAACACGTCTGCCCATTTCGTTGGAGTTCTTCCTGGGGGACGTTTTGCTTCGCAAGGAATTTACTTCGGTGTTATTAGTGTCCGTCTGTCGTCTGTTCTTCTCACAATGTGACTGGCCCATCGATGCTTCGCTTTCGAAACATAGTCAGCTGGGCCACGAAGACTGCATTCTTCTCATATCCTACTGCGAAGTCCGACAAGATGTTGCTTGTGTCGGATCATGTTCAAAAGACCGCACTTGAGCGCTCTATGGGTAATCCGTAGAGCTTTCGACGTGGCTACGGTGTCGACCCAACTCTCAGCTGCGTAACAGAGCGCCGGGAGAACGGTTGAGTCGAAGAGGTGGGCAGGAAGCTGCGGGTTCGTCAGTTGATCAGTGGCTTGCTTTAGAGGCCCAAAGGCGGCCCAGGCTGCTCTTCTTCTCCCGTTAAGTTCTTCCCTCGAGTCGTTCTCCAAGTTCATCGAACGTCCGAGATACCCGCAAGAAGACGTCTCCATGATAGGGGTGCCTTCCAATTCCATTTCTGCATCTTCGTAAAGGGCGTTCTTCATAAACTGGGTCTTCTTCCGATTTATCCGCAGTTTATCTTCTTCCCTACTTTGTTTAGTTCTTTCAGCATCGTCTCTGCTTCAGTGATACTGCTCGAAAAGAGAACGATGTCGCCCGCAAAACAAACAGGTTGGTCGAAGGTTGGACAGGAATCTCACATCAACTCGTATGCCTCTCTCGTCCCAGTCCAGTGATTTCATCACACACTGCAAGGCCGCGGTGAACAGTTTCGGCGTTGTGTCGCCTTGTCGGACCCCCTTTCCGATTGGGATGGTTAGGGGGCGATGAAACAGCTGCATCGTTGTTTTACAGTCCTTGTAGCAGTCGGTTATCGCCTCACTAGGCTGGACTGCTTGATCGACTAGTGATGACAGAATGGCATTTGTTTCGACGCTGTCGAAGGCTTTCTCATAGTCGGCGAAGGTTAGAAGAGGCAGTCGATATTCCCGGCAGACTTTTGACTCTCGAAACCGTCTGGATAAAGTCGCAACTGAATCCCTTGCGGAATCCAGCTTGTTCTTGGGGTTGGGCTTCATCCAGTGTCCTTGATATGCGAGCGAGAATAATCTTCGTGAAAAGTTTGTGGATCACACTCAGTAGGCATGCTGAACGGTGGTTCCGAAGATCCTCCCGTTCACTCTTCTTGAAAAGAAGGACGGTTCTTGACGTTCTCCAGTTGCCGGGAATCCTTCCCTTCTATAGGTAAGATGTAAAATGCGATTTGTGTAGACGGTGTCCTCCTGCTCGCAGAAGTTCGACGGAAGGATGATCTACAGTCTGCTTCAATCGGGATCAGGCCGAACCGTCGGCGTGAACTTGCGTGCTCGCAGCGCTGGAGGTGTGCGCTGCATATGCGCGCTATCGGTGAGAGCAAAAGGAATGCAGAGAGAGCAGAGAAGCAAGCCGTGTGCGTGACCGCGAAACCCTAGCAACGCGGGCTCCCCCCACGCCAATTTTGGCCTGGTTAGGATTGGGGCAGACTGTAGTCCTGAAGCCGTGGACGTCTTCATAATATGAATCGCCGTGCGCACTTCAGCAGGTAGAATTCGTGGTTGTACTTCTCCAGCGGGAACAACGGGCATCTGCACGGGTGTTGATGAGCGAAAGAGGTTGGTGTGAAAGTTCTTCGCTATAAATTTCATCTTGTATCGAAAGGAAGTCGGAGTCCCGTCTCCCGTCTTCGTTCAGCCAGCGGCACGCATTCACAGAAGTCTCTTCTGCATTTCTTAGACTTCTTCTTCCTTCGGCTGATTCCAGTATCTTGGCTTGCCTGTACTTCCTGGTCTTCGAAATGCGTTCCAAGTTCTTCTCAGGGCCCGTAGTAATCCCCCCGTCATAAGGGTCGCGACGTTCGAAACGTCGCACGTACCCAGCACGTGTCGTTTCGGCCGCGTTTCGTCGCGCGCCTATCTCTTATCACAGCCGCGCGGCGAAATCGCACGACGTCGTGACTGCAGGACGTGCTCGTCCTTGCGCGCAGAGGAGCACGTCGTGAACGTCGTCACTTAAGGGACAGAGAAATAGAAATAGTGGGCCCAGCGTGGAGAAAGGAAGGCGCAAGTGATTAGGGGTCGAATACGCCGAGCTCGCGACCTTGTGCAAGGACCGTAGGCACACAGCAATAGATTCAACGCACGCCGAATGCAATAGACATCAACAGCTGATGCTCAAATGTAACGCGCCGAACGTCTTATTCCGTTTTCTAACTATTTCTACTGCCATATTTCTTGTAATTAAAAAAAAGTCGAGTTTATTTTGATTACGATTTACTCCAGAATTCTACTTTCTGGTGTCTTATCGTGTTTGAACTATTTTCTTGTGATTCTCACATCGCAACTCATTTGTGCACCAAATTTTCCTTTCTGCATGTCTTAGTCTCTTACTTTTTTTATTTAAGCACCTTTTATAATGTTTATACGCTAAAATGCTGTTCATGGCTGTGCGTCCAGCGTTTCCCTCGTGATTTGGGGAAGGGAACCGTTTGGCGTTATGGCTAATGAAATTGCTCATATTTGCACCGACCAAAGTAGTAATAGTTTTACAATATTCTAAATTTCTCGTGTATTGTCAGTAATTTATGTTTTGCAATGACTCCCCACTACCAAAACGCTTACAAATTTTGTTTAATTACATAAAAACTAACTAGCCAGCAAGCTGCAAAACAATTGCCCACATGGCACTCGTACCCGCTGCCTTTAGCTCAGTGCCACCCAACGCAGACACTGCGCACCTCTTGTAGCGCTGCCGCCAGTACCGCGCTTTGATAGTGGCTCGGGGAAGGCTGTGTATACTTTTACAACCTACATAAAGGTCAACACACATAAGGCTTGCTTATCGATTTGCTCTCAAGCAGTAAGCAACTGTTCTGCCTGGCGCATCTTTGCTACGCTGGTTTTAGCGTTGATTTTCTCTGGTTCGAGAAGAATCAATAGCGCAGTGGCACTGCGCGCCGTCAACGACCACCGAGTAGTTCGATCGCGCGTGCGGTTTTATGTTTTGCGGCGACTAAAACATGGTCGTGAGCAGCACGTCCTTCAGTCGGACACGTTGTGTTCTCGGTTCCTTTACATCACGACATATTTCGGGGGTTTACTACGGGCCCGGAAGTCACTAGAGCGCACTCTCCTCAAGCTCGCAATCCTTCCAAAAGTCGGTCGTAGTCGTACGTTGGGTCCGCCTCGATGGGCCAGTCGCAACTTGATAAGGGCTCTTCTAAGGCTTTGGCCATACTTTGCCCGTTTTGCCGACGTTACCAGTGTTACTCGTGTTGCCGATGTTATCAGTGTTACTCGTGTTACTTGTGTTTCTAGTCTTACGATTTCATAGCAGCATTCGGCATCAGTATAGTACAAATACTCATCAATTGGTGAGGTGTTGTCCGAAAAAATGAAACTGTACTGGCGATCATTCCAAGAATCGACAGCAATAAAGGCGGTAACACTAAAAATACGAGTAACACGAGTAACATTGGTAACATGGCAATACTGGTAACACGAGTAACACTGGTAACATCGGCAACACGGGCAAAGTATGGCCAAAGCCTAACTTAGTTACCGTCATAAACGAGTTTCTTCCTGATCGCGTCACTGTGACAGATTTCTTTTTCAAGCTTAGACTAAATCGTATCTTCGCTCGAAGGAGGCGGTGATCGGAGCCACTGCAAAAGGATGGAACTACTGAAACATCGAGCAAGCTTCACCTTCGGTTGGTGAGAACGTGGTTAATCTTCACGTGAGTCGTTCCGTTGGGCGGTTCTCAAGTTAACCGGCGATGTTCTTTTTTGGAATTTCCTTTAGAAAGTCGTGCGGGGAGAGAAGCCCGTCGAGACGATTGTTTCGTTCCGGAGCCCATATCCAAACTTCCCGATCCTATATTCCTTTTCTAGTGGCATCCCGATTTCCGCACTGAAGTAGCCCACAACAAACTTGTAGAACGATTTTTCGTTGCGGACGACCTGCTTCACGTTTTCATACAAAGCATCTAGTTCTGAATCGTTAACTGCTGATGTTGGTGATTAGCAGTTGATAATGCTGGTGGTCTTCTGACTTGAAGATCGTAGTCTTAGGATGGCTAATCGTGGTGGATGGATCTCGTGCGAATCGACAAGACGAACGATAGATGAGTGGACAACCCCATTCCCATCAACGTTTCGTGGCGGAACCTTTTCACCATGGATGATGAGAGTCTCATCGCTCATCTGTAGCAAGTCCTTCTTCCTGAGCGAAGGTCTGGTATTCTACGTGCTCTGCAGCTTCGAAAAGAGGGTGGAGGTCGGCGTTTGTGGGGACTATCCTGGCGTTGTAGGTGCAGAGCATGAGGCAGTCTCCGTGACTTGTCGACCTGAGAACCAGACGGCGGTGGATTTGGCCTGGTCGGCTCTTTGTCAAGCATCCGGCCGAAATCGGAAGCATCGAACTCCTTCACAGCTTGTGAGACCCTACCAGTACACTCGGCTGTG